GAAATAGCAGTATAAAAGGTGGTATTTCGACTTTTGGAAGGTAGTTTTCTACATTGAGCAGGGTGGACTATTCTCAACACCTGTCAGTGGTGTCTCCTACGAACTTCCAGCTCTCACTGTAGAGCTTGCAGGGCTGAGATTGAGTTACACTGTCCCCACTTCAATGAGGATTCCTAATCACTTTCGCTGTCTGTATCGTCTTCATCCCTAAGCACAACCCCTATCATCATTACAAGGAAGTTAACCACAATCAGATCAGATGGTAGGGTCGAAGCCCTTCTCGTCACCAACCCTTGATCATGGAGGAGAAGCCATCCGGTGAGTTTCCGGAGCGTTCCCAGCACCCGATACTGCGATAGTGCATTGGATCAATTCGGCCTCGACTGTTACAAAGAAGGGACATAAAGATGAATATGTTTACCTCATGTGATCCCTATGTCTAGGCCTCGCCTGGCTGGGGCCGCAGGTTTTTTGAGACTTTTTCCCACGCACGTAGTTTCCATTGCTACCATTTTTTTTGGGTAGAAGGTTCCGTGGAAAAGGTGGCTGAATGGCTATTCATCACGGGCAATATATCAATGAACTTTGAAGTAACGAAAGATAATAGGTGCACTGTACAAGGTGTGACCTGGGTCATAGAGGAGCCCAATTTGCTAGATAGTTGTAGGCTCAATTAGTGTAATAAAAACATCGCATCACGTCTACATTGAGCGCTGAGCGACTTGAGTTGCGGGAATGCAGACGGTACTTTAAATATCGTCATGGTTAGATGGCGCAATGGTCCACAATTTAGACAAGATAACTTGGACACCTACCCTACTCGTAACAGCAGCTGGTTATCTCGGATACAGAAAGAATAAATCAAGCTTCTCCTGGTACTCGTTTTTACAGATAATGAATGTTTCTAAACTTCTCTTTTGGTTGGTACTAACGGGTCAGGGTCGACTATTTTTTTTTAATTCATTTTATTGACCTCTCTGAGGGTCGACAATTCTACGTAAGCTAACGCACCTTGTGTTATGACACCTTAGTTATGGCAAGCAAGAGCTCAGAGTATAAAAGGCAATAAATCTGAAGAGTATAGCTGTGTCTACGAATTTCACATGTAAAGCTCGTGAGACCAAGCCAATAGTAATTAACAAGTCATCAGTGCTTCCATATCGTCAGACTTGCGTCGGTAACTTATCCAACTCCATATCTTTACACCACATTCTCAGCTACTTAACACCCTCAAAGCCGGCAAAGACGAATTCTTCACCTTCGAGTAGTGCAGGTGTAATCGCTCAGTGTGCTCTGCATATCCGGGATAGCCAATAAGAGTCGCATCCGAATCGAAGTCGAAAGCAAACACATCCATATCTCCATTTGACGACTTCTAAATCATGCAGCACTCACCATTATCCTCTGAGTCCTCAAACTCTTTCTAACCACACATCATCTCGCCCCAACAACCTATAAATGCGTCACTCCAATTGCAAACAGAAGCTTGCCTCATTTGTTACCGGCCATCACTCACCACAAATTTACGACGCTGCGTATACCCGCGAGGAGGAAATCAAGTCGAAAAATACAAAGTTGGGGTCTTGGCTCATAGTAGAATAACGCTATAATGGGGCTATATATCTTGAGGATGGACACGCGGCTGAGATATGGAGCTAGAGGGGGAACAGGTCTCTGATGACTATGCTGGGACTGATATTTTCGAGGGGTTTTCAACTTTGGAACGTTTGTGGGCGCCAAATTTGAGATTCCGGCTAACTAGCCAGGATTTCTTTTGTCAATGAGTCAACGGCGCTCCCCAGCGCTCTGGAGGGCACAAAAGAAGTTGAGGCTAAGCTGCCATACAGCAATCACGCTCTGCCAAGACTTTTCTGACATTTCAGCACTATCTTCGGGAAGGAGGCTAGAAAGGCAGAGGGCGAGTTTCCCGACGTATCCACAAGTCTGCAGCGTCCAGCTGGCTGGCCTCTTCGAACGCTTTAGAAGGGTCACTATGTCTTCAGATTTAGCCATTATGTCGGTATTAGGAGAGCTCCGCACCCAGTGGCTTTTTTGATTTTTACCGGCTGCCATACACCCGCAAATATTTATCGTTTTGTTGGTTGGAGAGGGGAGATAATGAAGGGCAAAGGGCTCCTCTAAGTGTATGATCGAATGAGGACATGTGAGGGGTGGTACAGTTTGAGGGGAGCTGTATGGGAAGCATAGGAGGGGATATACTACTGGCATAGGCATCCTTGGCCTGTAGGCAGAGAGGATCTGCATGTCCTACATAGTTATAGACTTAGACAGGACAATAAAACGAAATAATAATAATAATAATAACACTCTGTTATAGTATTTCTAAATAAAATCCAGAGTATGAACGGCTTTGATGTCGAAAGTGTCATCTTTCATGTGTTCAGGACATGAACTATGCGCCATGGTTAGATAAATGCGTAAGGTTAAATGAGTCTAGAAAATTCATGAGAATCTTTCTGGCGTTGAAATGTCGCAGCGATCAAACCTTATCACGCAAACCCCTCCACATGTGCTGGCCCTCACGTGCATGTAAAAACTATCATTATTATTTTGAGCTCGAGACTATGCTGTGATGTTTAGGAGGAAATTTAAAGGCGCCAGTTCCGAGCATAATGCCGATGTGATCGACGATGCGCAGCAGAGACGAAAATATGACAGGGATTGGTCTCGGATATGTGATAATCAGATTACTCTTCGGACACACGTGGTGCGCTCCTCGTGAAGAGAGCCAGGACCATGGAGGGAACTTGGACTTGCAATCATGATGGAGTCCGATACACCAACACCGAGCTACGGGTACTGTTTATCTTCCCTGTCGCGCCCACAAATAGCACCAGTAGAGACTCAAACACATCGTTCTGGTGTGACCTCATCTCACTAAGTGAAAATGGAAGTACCACTCGCCCCATTCTCGATGACTTAGTTTTCTTGGACTAATTTACGCAATAGCCTCAATCCCTACAGCCAGGAGGCTTGGAGAGCGTATACCAAGGACTTGACGACACTGTCCTCTACAAACTTGGAAATAGAATTTCCTCCTCGAAGCGGCTCTTAGTCAGGCATCGTAATCCAAGGGAGATTGGCCCAAGATGAAATATTTTAGAACCTGTCATATCTATTCTCTGCTCGTGTTAAAGTAAGGTTCAAGGCGAAGTGTTAGCAAGCATAAAGGTACGACTTGATGTATCAATTTTTATACGACCGTATGCCTCATTGACTTTGTCTCTGGCCTCCAGATAGACGTAACGACGCTATGAGTACCCGCAAGAAAACTGCGAACACGGCGTATGAATCATGTGAGATGAATTTCTGGAACCAACTGAACAGACAAATGGAAGATATGAGGCCGAGGATGCATACAATCTCGGAAGAGGTGGAAATTTGATGGTGTGGAAGTATTAAAACATGGAAGCCCTCGTTTGTGAAGGTGCAAAAGACACTATAAATATAGTGGCGGCTGTATAGCTCAGTGGTACACCATACCATCCGGTCTCTCGAGTCCAGCTAGCATAGCCCCAGCTCCGAACTCTCTCGAGACAGGATATCGCTGCTTTGGATCTAAGACGACTTGACTACTCTACTCGCGGTGCTAGTGTACAGGCTGGCAAGGGCATGCTTGTACAGCTACAACTTTTGAAATTTCCCTTAAATAGAAACTCATCGAAGACGATAGACTGAGCCATTTCAACAGAGATTACGTTGGCGTAAACTAATGAGATTCAGAGAATGGGAATTTCGAAGGTGAGATGATCAGTCCAAGATATATCTAGAACACTGATCTAGTGTCACGACTATATACCTGAGAATATTCTACATTAAAGACAAAGGTCTCATGAGGTGCGGCACGGCTATGTACTTCCGGAGGATCTAGTCCGACCATTGTGGTCGACCTTGTGTATCCACAAAGCTACATGATTAAAAAATGCGATTATCTGAACAATCTGCTGCACTGACTCGACGCCTTGCCAGTTCCCTCACACCCGTTTGAGTGAAGAACATGTTTCCCGAAAATTCCTTACCCCTATTATGAAGCTTCGTGATTTTGATAAGGGGATTAAAGTAGGCCAGGCGCCCAGCCCAAAGCCCAGTTGACGTGTTGTTTCGGTGTAATCTTATTGTAGATGTCTGGGAGACCCCCGTCGCGAAGTTGTGCACCGCACAGTAAGGAATTGCTGGCGCGGTTCGGGTCAGATTGGTTCACACATCAGACCCAGTACACCGAATTTGCCCGCTGTCAACTCACTCATACATTTGAGGCGGCGTGTCGTCGCCTCCGCTTCTGTCGCGCCATCCTCCCCATCACTACGCGAATGGGAGGGCTTGGCCGCAGACATCCCTGTCAAAGATCGACGAGTGGATGATTCTTGCATCTCATTATCCAGAGGCAGAGATAGGGTCCCCGACCCCGTGGTCTTGCAACAACCTAGTCCGTAGAGCTTGCTGTATCTGAGGCTGGGCGCATCGGGCGGCCCATGTCGGCGGAAAGAGAAAACGAGCCGGTGGCATCGCCTTCACTCCAAAGAGAAAATTAGGGGCATGACCCCTGCACGTCAGCATCGGCCAAGTACACACAGGCGTTATCATGACAGCTTAGGTTGTGGAGAGAACAATAGAGCTGCGAAGAGGTCGGGTTGAATCATGCCCAGAGCCCTTTCCTGCCGCCGGGGACCGAGAAAGGTTGAATGGAAGAAATGAAGCATCGTTGGCCAACTTGTCTTTGATTAATCCCCCTGCCAATCGTCTATCTCGCTTCGGCCACAAGAGACCCTGAGACAATCACCGTGAAAGCTTTTCCTCTCTCGCGCCGAAAAAAAAAATCTCTACAGTCGACGTTTCCCTCCAGGCCTCGCCATCGAATTCTCTCGCCTCCTCGACCCAGCGGATCGATCCCGCCACGAAGTTACGACACCTTATAGAATGCCCATGGGGCTCGGCGCCAGGCGATCTTAAATCACCCGACCGTAGAAGGCGCCGACCAAATGAAAAGAACGCAAGGCCACGGCCTTCGTTCCCCAACCATCTCTCGACCAACATCCACCAACCTACTCTTTCATCATTCAAGTCGTCGTGGCCGGGCCTGCAGAGAGGGCGCGAGGTCGGGAATAGTCATGTCGTCGCTGGTGGAGAAATCACAACCGCAAATTGTCGTGGACGCAGTTCTGAAGAGAGCAGAAGTCGGCAAGGTGGGCTACCGTGCCGGACCCTTCACATTAGACCATGGCTGATAATCTATGCTAGATTGGTAGAACCCTCAAGACTCGCCTGGCCTTTGCTCAATTCAAGGTCATGCGGGGATGGGAAGACCTTTCCATTGACGCCATCGAACCCAAGGTCCAGGAGTTACGACAGCACCTGAGGGCTGACGTGAAGAAAGAATTTCTTCCCGAAGATTCTGAAATGATGATAAGCTCGGACCAAAGCCAACCACAGCCTCGATATTCTCTGGGATCGCGCTTCCGCAACGCCATTGACGCCTCTCGCCAGACCATCACCAGTAAGAGCCGCGCATTAGATAGATCCTGTGGTAAGCGCAGAAATCAGGAATGGCTAGACGACCCCAGCTGCTTCATTGGGTCTCGGAAACGCCACTGCTCATCACCACTGGGCCACCCTCACACATACCAAGATTTGCCACTCACGCAATCATCGCCCATTAAGTCTCCACACCAAGCACACTTTACGACAACGGTGGGCCCGGGTCTTTCCTTTTATGCGGACTCCTACCGACCTCGTCATCTACTCGACGGCCTCCTGGACGAGAGCGAGGAGGATGAGGTTTCTTTGCCATTGTACTCGTTTAATATAAATTCTTCGCCCCCACGCACGCCACCTCTATGGTCGCGTGAGAATGGAGAGCGTTGTTGCGAACACATTGAGAGGCTAGAAGGAGAGGAAAACGAGCACTTATTTCAACGACCAGCCTTCTCTCCACCAGCAGTTGACCCCACGCGCCTTACCTGCCATCCCAAAACCCCACCCCGTCATGCTACTGTCCCATCCCTCTCCAGACCCATTTCTATGGCGGAGGCCGACCTGCTATGTGAGCCGGAGAGTCTGACGCCGGCCTCACCGACATTTGACTTTTCAGACTTTGTCAATATTACCCCAAGTCCAGCTCGACCACCCTGGCCACTGACGCCGCAGACTGACAATGTGTCAGGAGTTTTCAATCATCGTCACTCGATTTTTCACGCAAAATCAAGCCCACGCAAGCCAAATATTCCTCCAGGGCCCCGAGATCCGCAAGAAGTTGGACACTCATGGAGAGGCCAATACTGCTGGTGACCCAGCTGGCGCTTGATATTTCCCCTGGCCATGTCTCACGAATCTGGGTGTCTGGGTAGGGACTCCATCTTGACTTGTTTTGTTGGTGACGTAAACGGTGTGATAGGATGATTGTCGGACGTGAGCGTGCGGGCACCTGGGGATGGAGTTGGAGTGTGAGGATATTTTGGCTTGACTGGGTCTTGAGACGATTGTACCATAGCTGTGTTTCTACGAGGGAGGAGAAAGTATTACTAAAATAATATGAATGACAAGACATCTGAACGAGGCGATCATGGCCAACCTCGATGCTTACTTTGAGCCTGAGACCACCTATAACTCCCTCTGCTAAGGAATGTCTCGGGCTACAACGAGACCTCATCTTCCACGAATCCTGATGATATGGGCTTCTGTAAAGTCTAATCTGCAAGCCCATTGTCCTATTCGCTTTCTTTTTTCGTCGGGCCTGCTCCATGCACGAACCAGGGTGCAATGACAGGCGCTAATTAAAGCTGTCAGAGCCATGGAACTATTGGCTCTCGACCTTGGCTGGAAATCCCCCCCCCATGACTTGCGGCCCCTCTACCCCCTAGACCCTGGATTTCTTCGGCAGCAAGGCGGGAGACGTCGATAACGTCACTCTTGACATTTATCCTAGCCCCCCCACTTGCTAGGATACTGGTGCGGACTCCAAGAGGCACGTATAAACACTCCTCGACGCCCCCAACAATTTCCTCATTATTCCCATCTTTGCACAATTCACCCTCTCTTTTTTATTCCTCCAACACCGCCACTCTTCCCGTTTCTTGGACACTCCGCTCTCGCCTGCGCCGCCTCGACACATCATGACGCTGCCCACTACCGTCGTCGCCCTACTTCTGGCCGGTGTGGCATACACTATTTCCTACATCATATCACGCCTTCTCCGTGCTCGTCGCATAATCCGACTCTCGCGCGAGCTGCAATGTGAGAAGCCACCAGTGCTTAAAAGTCATTGGCCCTTAGGTATCGATACGCTTATGCGCTCCATGAAGGCAGTCGGGGAAAACCTTTACCCCACTGTCTCCATTGAACGAACTCAGGAAATTGGCAGTGTCACTTATAGCTTCTCCATCCTCGGCACTGAGAATCTCTACACGGCCGACGAAGAGAACATCAAAGCCATGCTCGCCGTGCAGTTCAAGGATTTCGAGCTTGGTGCCATGCGTCGTGGTAACTTTTGGCCCCTTCTCGGCAACGGCATCTTTACCCAGGACGGACCGGGTTGGGAGCATTCTCGCGCCATGATGCGTCCACAATTCGCACGCGATCAGATAAGCGACCTAGATATGGAGGAATGCCATGTACAGAATATGATGCGAGCCCTCGAACTATGCATGGCCAAGGACGGTTCAGGAATTATTGAAGATATCGACTTACAGGTTCTCTTTTTCCGCCTTACCCTAGATTCAGCAACGGAATTCCTCTTTGGAAAGTCAGTTGAGACACAGGTCCATCTACTCGGCCATAATACCAACGGCCCCATTCCCGGCATCGAGAATTCCGTCCGTGCCAAATTTGCCTTCGCCTTCGACGGAGCGCAGAAGACACTCGCCATTCGTGCGCGTCTCGTTAATGGATACTGGCTCTTTTCACCACCCGGCTTCAAGGACTCGTGCAAGGTCTGTCACGACTTCATCGATGAATATGTGCATCTCGCTCTCAACAAGGCCAAACGACTACAAGCGAATGATGTAGAGAAGGATGGAGACGCCAAGGAAAAGTACCTCTTCCTAGATGCCCTCGTCGCTCAAACCCAAGACCCGCTCGAACTACGGACACAACTTCTAAATATTCTCCTCGCTGGCCGCGACACGACTGCCTCCTTCCTCGGCTGGCTCTTCATGCTTCTGGCCAAAGACGCCGGCCGCTATCAAAAACTACGCGACATAATCCTCGCCGAGTTTGGCACCTACGAAAATCCTATCGACATAACCTTTGCGCGAATGAAATCGTGCCAGTACCTACAGCAGTGTAATAATGAAGCTCTCCGCCTCTTCCCCGTAGTACCGGTAAATTCACGCGTTGCCAACAAAGACACGACACTGCCGCGCGGCGGTGGCAAAGATGGCAAGTCCAAGATCTTCGTTCCCAAGGGCACACCAGTCGACTATTCCGTGCATGTGATGCACAGACGGAAGGATCTCTGGGGCGAAGATGCGAATGAGTTCAATCCCGAGCGCTGGCAAGGCCGAAAGGTGGGATGGGAGTTTCTTCCGGTACGTATAGCGGCTCATGGCTAGAGCCTAGCCTGCCTTCTTTTTCCTGCTCCACGACGAACGCTAACAGCCAGACAGTTCAATGGGGGCCCACGAATATGCATTGGGCAACAATTCGCCCTGACCGGGGCTAGTTACGCTATTATACGCCTGCTCCAGAGATTCGACTCCATGTCGTATCTGGGCACCGAGGCCAAAGAACTACATAATTTAACCTTGACGAGTTGTAATGCAAATGGAGTAAGGGTGAGGGCGCATGCGGTGTGTTGATGAGTAATGTGGGGTAGGGGGGGTATCTATGAACAGTATGTAATTTGTTTCAGCGTCATGTAGCGGAATTTTGGTACGGCGAAAGCGTATGTAATAAAAGTTTGGTAATAATCTGATTCTCATTTACCACCATAAGCGATGTCTACCTTGTGCACTGCTCGTGAGCCGCCAAATGTGAGGAGATGGCGCTGGCTGGCTGCACGATACGATGAGCTTGCAGGGATGCAGCTCAGCTGGACAGGGAAGAGGCAGTGGGAGCGGGGAGGCGATAGAAAGGGGGGAGATGCGAGGCCCGATTTTGACGTGATGGGGCTGTGGGGCCCCATTGCCCGTCGCCAGCTGCTAGGCCGCATTGAGAGCTGCTAGGGGTTCCAGCACGGCACGTGACCGCCGGACACCGAGGGCCATGTAGGAGTCACGCGATGAAGAAAACGAGAGCAGTCTCCGCGCGGAAGCACGCGACGCACGGTTGCCGGGGCGGCCGGCAAGGAGGCGCGCTGGCAGAGCTATTTATAGATGAGGGAGCTTAGGGAAGTCGAGCGGCTTACCGAATTGAGGTGCCTCGGCCCGGGTGAGATGGCGACGGCGGCCCCGCGGCCACCTCCGCATTGCCTCGCACCAAGCAGGAGTGGGCTCATGCCACATAGCGAAATGCCGTGGGCGTCAGGCCGTGTCTGATGGGGAGTGGGAGCCGTTTCATGGGGCTGCGCGCGCTTGGCCTCGAGACGGGACGAAAATGAGGCCACGAGATTTATTCCCCAGAGCTCAGCAGCTTCGGCTACGGTTTCCTGGGGGCGCCCGCTCTGGTGATGCTGGGTTTCATGGCGGGCCCGGCCGTCGTCGGCAGCAGGAGCGTCTCACCTGTCCCGCCCGAAACTCCAAACTCTCGCGGCAGCCGAGCTCGAGTTGCCTCCGCAGACAGTCCGTTGTCCGCGGCTCAGACGCAGGGTGGAGTGCCCTCGCAATGCGTCCCGCTCCCGATGTCTCACGATGGCGCTGGCCCACGGCCTCGACAAGGAAGTACGGCGTGAGAGCGACATGAGGGCCGCCCGACGCTGCGGCAAAGCTACCGGGCCTGGCGGGCGAGGGGAGCAGAGGCCACGCGTGAAAACCTTCAAATACGTCGGTACGAGCTAGCTCAGCCTGTCGCAGTCGCGTCGCAGAGCCAAATGCTGCCCGGCCCATCCCGCGCGCAATGCTCTCGCCGGCTCGACTGTGGACGAGACACCTGCGCCTGTGCGCGGCTCTCGATACTCTCCGTTCCGCCGCAGCGTCCAACGGCGCACTGGGCCCCACCTTCAGTGTCAGTTGTAAGGCTGCGCGAAACATTTGACATGAAAACCACTCCATCCTCAATATTTCTAATCGCCCCCCTCCAGCCAGCACCTCTTCTGACACGCCGCCGTCCAGGCCCGTCCGTGAATCCCCATCAATGCGATTCGCGACACCTCTACTTGCCCATGCCGGTCGGGCAAGACGGGCCCCGACGCAATACCTGTGCACCACTGCACTCGCGTGCCGATGCAGCAGCCCCCATGCAGCAAAGCTTCGCGGGGTCTCTGCCAGCATGATGCAGGCCAAACCTACCTCACCTCCCGCATCTCTGATACATGGCATGGCAGGTGAGTTCAAGACTGTTTACCGTTGCGCACTGCTCTGGCTAACATCCCTACGCCGTTTCCACCCGTCCGAGGAAACACTCGCGAGACCGCAATCGACCCTCCGACCCGTGTCTCGGCTTCCAGTGAGAGAGCCAGGCCATAGGTACGGGATTTAGTCGCATTCCGACAGGTCATCTCTCACATCCACGCGCCCAGATGACCCGACGAAGATTTAGTGGCAGCCAAAGACTCAATATCGGTCAACCGTGTCCCCTACGAACCTTCACCGCTCACCGTAGAGTCTGCAGAGCCGAGATTGAGTTCAACACTAGCAAGGCGGCCTTTGATTGTCCGTGGGTCCACGCCATTCCCGCTACCCTAGATCGCACTACAGCTCACATTAAATCAAGACTGCAGCATTTCAAGACAGTCTCTGACCCTTTCCGAGCCATGAGAGAGTTTAGGGGTCAACAGAGGCTACAACAGCACAGAGCGCCGCCAACACCCAGCTGTCCGGCTTCCCAAGAAGCTTCTAAACAGTAGCCGTGTCCTCGGATTCAGTCCTCACGCTGGCATCAGGCGAAGCCCTACACTGACTGGGTTGAAAGTTTTTCCGGCTGCCATACACTTGCAAAAGACCCTCATTGCGTTGCTTTCAGCGGGCAATCGACTCCAAGGTTATGACTGCATAAAGGCTTGTGGGGGGATGGCATGCTCGAGGGGCAAAGCATCCTTACCTCTGGACCGGAAAGTGCTGCATAGCCATACAATGAGAAATGACAAAATTTCCAACCAGAATATCATGCTTCACCGTCACCCCAGTCAGAGTTTCATGCAAGCCTAATGTGTAGCTTGTGCTAGCCAAAGTATCTCGGAATACTGGAAATCTATATCCACGCCGTCCGGCTACAAGTGGCAGGTTTCAGTGTTCAGAGGTTGGCGTATGTGTTTGTCCGCGTATAGGTGGACTTAAGAATGAAAAAACTTGTATCCTTTGGAGAAATAGACTAGTTCGCCCAAGGCGTTTCGCGAGAACTTGATCAGTGCTGGTAGAAGAAGCCTGGATACTAGGATTCTCTTTACTTGTCCGGCTGCACGTAATCTTTGAAGCTCTGGCTTGTCAAGACTCTGCACTTGAGCTGGCCGATGCGCAGCAGAAGCAGTAGAAGCAGCGTGCAACGTTCCCTCATTGCTTCCACCAAGCCCCTTGTACGTGCTAAATAAACCCCCCTCTATACTGCGCTACCAACATACCCTGCTGAGATCTTTGCTGTTAAATTAGCTGCTACGAGGTTGACTTCTTTGACGGAGGGAGGTAGTTGTAGTAGATCCAATTGCGAGTATGCATGTCCTCTGGTATCTATCCGACGCCATGTAACTTGCGGCATGGGCAGATGCTGGTCGAAGAATATTTGCTTCATGAAGAACTGACTGCAGCATGCTCGATATTAATTCGGCTTCTTAATCCCGTTAGTGCCACATTGTTATTGAACATCCAACAGTGTACTAGCGCAAGAGGCGGCACCTCAGCCCACCTATTGGTTAGCTCAATCTATTTCCACTGCTAGACGTGACCTAGACTGTCAGCACCATCTAGATGCCATTTGAACCAGAGTTCGAGGAGATGTCAGACTTCCGACACCTCAGAGACTCACCCGCAATTATCTCTCAGAAAGCCCGGTGCCCCTGAAGAGACAAGGCCCTTTGTAAAGGAGGTTGAGATAAGTCCCTACAAATACTCTCGACGGCTTGAGCTCTAATATGACTGGGATTTGCTGGATCGCCATCAAGTCGACGGAGCGCGAAGAAAATCCCCCAACTCAACCACTCGTCTGGGGAGAACATCATCTACCACTCCAGCACCAGATCTCTGCTCCTCAAACTGGCTCGTCGGGGATCTGCGCTTTCCACACTTTTCCATGAAGCGGAGACTTAGCGCTAGGGATCGACGAGTAGCTCGACCATCTTGTTATCCCAACTCAGCGTGGGTGAAGCTGTTCGAACAGCTCTCCCCGTCCGTCCAAAGTTTGACTGTGTCTAGCCTATGCTCAACTCGAGCACATCCAAAGTCGCTTAGCACTCAGAATTGCTTCATCTATTCTGATTGGCACATAATCTCTGCCGAGTCCTCTTTCAACAGCACTGGACTCTCTTGGGCCTCCGACCGGAAAAAAAGCTAGCAGAGACTATTGCCACCGCTGGTAAAGGATAAAATCTTCCTTAGCTTACAGGGTTAATGCACTGGAATACAAGCGCTTCCTGAACTCTAGTGTGAACTGATAGGTCGCTTAACTACACATCTACGCCGCGCCCGCGCCCACGCCCCCCAAAACTCGTGCAAATCCTATGCCCAGGCCCGTGAATCTTGCCTTCCGTGCTGAGAATAGCCAAAAGTGCCATCACTCTGGACCTCCTTACAAACAGCGTGTGAACGATGCGATTTGGTTAGATGGGACAGCTAAAGCTGCAGGAGGTCTAAATAAGCCTGCTGCTACGAGGTTTTGGTAGAAGATGGCGAGAGAGCTCGGAGCGAGCGTGGAATATTATGGCTTCGCTGAATTACCGGGAAAAGGCGTGCTACACGCAGGCATATGTTGAAAATGTGAACCCCTTCAGGCAAGTTCGGAGCCAAGTGAGACCTCGGTTTGGAATGTCTGGGACTGCCACCGCGGCGGTATTAGCTCCGATCTTATCGATAAATGGGGCTTTTCGCTGGGTTTGCTTGGGCACAGGTGCAGGTGTAGGCCAGAGAGATGTGTTTATTGTACTACTTGAGCCTTAGACTATCTAGCACATTGGGCTCCTCTCTGGCCCGGGCCATACCTTGTACAGTGCTCTTGTCTTCTTTTGTTACTTCAAAGATCATTGATATATTGCCCGTGATGGATAGCCATTCAGCCCAGTATTTACCGTAGTCTGCAGAGCCGAGACTAAGAGCTTTGGCCATACTTCCACGAGAGTCACCAAGTTGGCTCATCGTGTATTTTGGCTTCAATACTCAGCAGTGTAATCATGAAGCTAACCACAATCAGACCAGATGGTAGGGTCGAAGCCCTTCTCATTACCCACCCTTGGTCATGGAGGAAAAGCCGTCGGATGAGTGCCCGGAGCGTAGCCAGCCCCAAACGCGGCGGTGGTAGATTAGATCAAGTTGGTCTCCAATGTTACAAAGAAGGGACGTGAAGATGGATTTACCCATCTCGTGTGGCTTTGCCTTCGAGACACCGCCTGGCCGGGGGCTAACGTTTCTACGGCGGCCTTTGTGACTTTTTCAGAAAATGAAGTTCACCTCTGTTGGTGATGACTGAGCTAGAGGGCAATCCACCACCGACTCAAAAATCACTGTAAACACAAAAGAAGGTCAGAGCACGGCGAAAGATCACGTCGTAGGCTGCATGG